TCCTGAGAGATTGACCCTGGACCAGAATGGACGGTTGATTTTACTTCGAGCATTTCATTTCGAGTTTTACTCATACACATAACATATATGTCGTCTGGCATGATCCCGTAATGGTAATACTGATTATATCGTCGCATCGGGAAACTCAACGGTAGTAAAGTACCGTGAAAAATTTTAGTTATCGTCGATGACGATAGATGCATCGTATACCAGGTGTACACTTTTAAATTTTAAAGTTTACTACTAAAAAAATCAGTCGATTCGGGAGTCTCGCAAGACTCAAGGAAATGGGTATAATATTGATAATCGAAACCGGATAAATATCTATAGAGAGGCATCCGAGTGAAACGAAGAATGGAATCATTAGCAGTGAGGAAACCCGGTATAATAATAGGCCTACGACTGTCCTAGCCTTGGGAGCGACGGTAGTCTGCGTGTGGACATTCGGTTCTCGGTGGCCCACGCACTCGTATATTTCGGTTCTCGAAACTCCGGACACGTAACCCTCTTGCCCGTCTCGTGTCTCCATCTCAGATCAGTGACGACAGCCCAGAAAATAGTAAGTCGCCCTCGGGAAGGACATTATCTTCCGAAATTCGTTGTTTTCATAGCAGAGGCAAAGCCGAGACCGTCACTGCCAAACAGTTGAGATCCACCCTGACGACAGGGTCGATGGGGGGCTGCTGTTGGAACGGAAAATTTCAAGCGATCAATACGTCATCGATATAGTTGATAAATACATGAAAGTCATTGGAGTAGTATGAAACGAAAAAAATAAAAAATTTTTAATTTATTATTTTCCCTCAAAATTGAAGAAGCCTTGAAAAATGATTTTTAAAGTGCTAAATACCTACCCTCAACCGTAGGTATCCAGGGGTGAGATAAGTAAGACGATAATGACTGTAACAATAAGGACGAAGAAATAAAACGAAGAAAGATGGGATTTTACGGAACGACGACGTATCCCAAGTGATTATCACTGTACATTTGGAATAATTAAACAATTGAATGAAAACTTTTTAAGGAGGACAATAATGCCCCTGGACCAAACAATCCCTCGAAATGAGAAGAATGAACGGCAGCCGTATAGCTGTAGGGGGTGGCGGGGGGGCGGGAGAAAAGGCGAAGAATAGGCTTCAAGGGGTAGTGAAGTGAGGGGGAGAGAAAAGCCTTCAAACAAAAGTAAGCGAAATACTTTCAAATGCAGACGCTTAGCATTCGGAAAGCTCTTGAAGACTTTGACGTGGTGACGTTGGCTTCTGATTTTCAACTTTTTTCTTCCCGATGCGAAAGAAACCGACGAATCCGTTGAAAGGCTGTTTCCTTTGATCGATCTGCGTCGTCCGCTTTCGCCTGGTTCGAAGCGCGAGAGAAACGAGGTTCCTTATTTTGGGGTGATTGCTATTTGTGAAGGCGACTTTTGAAAACGGTCCTATACCGAACATGTGTCAACCGCTGACAACTTCCGGTTATGCCATATGCTAGATACGGTGGATTCGGTAATTTTTTAAAAAACGAAAAAAAAATCTGTTTCGAGACTCTTGACTATACATATACTATACACGGCAAAGCTTATTGAAGAAACTAAGAATAATTAGTGCTAGACAATAATGGCTTTAAGCTCCGTTGTCGTCCAGATCTTCCGGCCGATCCAGATAATTTATAAGTCTATTATTCGCTTTCCTCGGCAGCGCTTTTACGAGCACTCAAGTCCGTCCTTCCTCGGCCGTAAAAGGAGCGTAAAAGAAATAAGGGGAAAAAAGAGGAAAAAAAAAGAGAGAAGCAGTAGCCTCGCGCAATAATAAGCCAAGTATCGAGGAGCGTGAAGAGAAAGCGAAGATAGTAAGCGCTCCAAGTATCAGCTAAAGCATCGAGCAGGCAAAGAGAGTAAATAAAGCGTATATACTATAGCTATACGCCACGTACCCGCAGTAGCAGTGGCTGCTGCCGATATTGTGCCACGTAATACTAGAGGACGCTCTAAATCAATGAATGTCTCTTTATACTCCTTGCGATAAATATTTAGTCCTGCGGTTCTCCGCTTTCCGGTGGCCTAGGTCTGTTTTCACATCTGAGTCGTATTCAAGATTGAAACCGGCCAGCATCATTGCTACATGCGTTAACGTAGGTATACGCGTATACGTATATCTATAGCGTGCGATCCTCCTCCTTTACCCAGAAAGCAATACCAGGAAGCGTCCCGACGCTCGAGCCACAAGAGTCCAAGAAGTATTGAACCAGGAATTAAAAAATACCTTGTGCAATCGTTATTTAAAAAATGGGACACCGTGGCGACGATATACTCTCTCGAAATACAGTGACGATGAATCAAGACCCAAATGACGAGTTCGGACTCAATTTAAAGTGCTTTGAGAGTAAGTTGCTCTATATCCGTGGTCGTTTTACCCCTTTACCAGGAAGTGGAAAGTTTAGTTTGCCAGGAGACACGAGAAGGCAGCATACCCCACCACCCCTCGCTACCACCCACTTACCTAGAGTCAATTTAGCCAGGTCTTGATACGTCTATCCTATTCAACTAATACCGAACAACGTCTAAACCATTGGATTATCTCGTTAGGTAAGGCCCAAGTTAAATAGTAGTATCGCTTAGGATATACATCAGGGACACACTGGGGAATTGCTTAGGCTCGTCTGACAAAGCTCAACGGCTAATGCTTCTGCAGCTTGCGTAACCCAGGCTGCTACACCGAGTGACCTACATACACGTGCTTTATTTAAACTGGTTTCTTCTTCAGCGCTTTTAGTTTCGACTTTCGACCCTGCTTCCATTGTCGGGACAGGTTGCGTTTTCTGCATCGGCAATCTCTCTGGTACCTGATCCAGATCGTGAGGATGGTAACGAGCAATTCGAAGATTTTTCTCTCCAAGTCTGTTTTTTATGTTATATATAAAAAAAAAAGGGTACGTAGTAAAAGCTTTTACAGACATTCGAAAACTTACCCTACGAAGGATACCCATGAGATCGTACATGGGAATATTTCTTAACGTGGTGCTGAATGGACTTACTGCCAGTGTCCAAAGTGAATAACCCGGTGAATTTACAAAGAGCGACCCGTCAGAGGGATATACGTAGTACGCGTATGTAAATTGCAAACTGAAAACGATGAATGCATCGTCTAATACCCATAACGTCGAGAGCTTCGTCTAGCGAGATCTATCTTGGGGAGCTGGGAGTTTCTATGGAGGCGACAACGATGGAGAGCGGCATTGCGGTACCGGCGACGTGTCAGCTGCCGGGATTCCCACGTTCGCGCGAAAACTTAGGACGTTGGCTCGCAGCTCTTGATTGGAGCCAGGAGAGAAATTTTGATTTATTACACGTTCTGCCATAATAAAACTAGAGCCACACCTATCCCGACGTGAAAACTCATTAACGCTATTGAAATAAATACACCGTGAGATCCGCAGCGCGAGGCTGCCCGGGCGCCGGTGTCGAGAACAATACTTTGGCAAGTCGTCAGGAACGAGACGGAGCTACCGGAGATTCAGGGTGTGTCCTGGACGATGGTTTCTCTTCCTCGACAATTTCCCATCAGCCTTACTTGGATAACCTCTCAGATGTTTTTTCTTTTCCGAGGTCATCAGGGTACCACCATGTTCACCAGGATAAATTCGCTACCCACCCCATGCATACTTATCGTTAGGCATTTGATATTAGCTGATGGCTCGTATTCTTAAAGGCACCTTTACGAGCGGCGATTACTTACATATTTGATAGCCCTACTCTAGGCCCATCCTGCTTCCCCATTATCCTGAACTCGTACGTCACGCTAGCCGGATGCATAAGCCACTACCGGAATCAATACTTCAACGAGACCATCAACGAGAGTGCGTAGGTAAGTATAATATAAGTTTTATGAGAGTCATCGAAGAGGACAGTCGTATCGATAAATTGCTCAGGCAGTGCAGATACTTTAAGTCTTCTATCATATACACAGGAAGTAATCGATAAGTTGAAAGTAAAAATATCGTGTATTTAAATAAAAAAACCTTTTTATTACGACAAACGAGGTTTTTCTGTTCCAAACAGTAAACTTCCTCTGCTCGGTTCAGGCAGCCAACGTAAACGAGATTCAGCAACGAAGAGCCGATTCTTTTGGTAGGTAATTAAATCCTAATGCCTTTTTGATCGGACCTCTGAAAAGCCCATTCACGTGAAACTCCCTACCTCCCCTCCCAGTCAAAGACCCATTCCACCTGGCAGCCAATGCCCTTTGCCAAAGTAAAAACAGGCCAATTTTCACAAACGAAATCGTTCCCTTCTTCCGCATCCGCAAGCACTTCGGTCCATCCACCCACAGTATAGGTAAAGGTTCCCAAGCGGTAATAAGGTTTAATACGACCGCTAATAAAGGCGGGTATAGAGCACCCAGAGGTAGAGAACCCCAATAGGGACGCGTATATAGGATTTCGAGGGTTGTTCTTGAGGAAACGTGCATTCAAGGTGTACGTGACGCGTAACTGCGGTGCGTGAGTACTAAAACCTTAATTATATACCTCGAACCAAAAAAAAATGGAAGGACCCAGTCGAATTGACCTCTCTTAATATACCATTCCTTTCTCGAAGAACACATGGACTTTCCAGTTAATGCTCTAATAGTTATTACCATTGTGGCTTTGGTTGCGTGACCACTGCTTGGCCACTTGGAATTCATAGGGTGTTACCGCGGCACGGTATGTGCGCATACGTAGCACGAGTGTTAGAAGGGTTAATTATAGACATTTCGAGATTAGGGGATGATTTGGAAAGTAACGCGTAAGAAATGGTATAGAAAGCTCGGCCTGGTAGTATATAGAATATGGTGTAGTAAGTACGCAGTATGGTAGTAACCGGAAGTAATAGTAATATTCTGATAGTATAACATTGTAGAAAGTTACTACTATAAAGTAGTATACGGAGTATATTTTTTTTTGTGCAAAAATTTATTCGGGTTACGTTAAATGACAAGGTCTATTTTTTTTAGACTAACGGCACTCACCGAGTTAATAGCTGTCATGTTGCTAACTCGACTTGGATCTGTGTCCACTAGCCCGCTGTCACTCTGTAACAGAAGAAATATATTTTAAAAATCCGTTAAATGTGGAAAATTGAACATTTTTTTTTAATAATGTTTTACATTAAAACATATACGTTCAGTTTTTAAGGATTGATCAGTAGAGGACCAATGTGAATATTAATGTAATTGGAAAAAACCACGAAAATTTTGAAAATTCAGATATAAGTGAAAAAAAATAATTTAACAAAAATTGACAAATTAATAAATTTGTATTAGGGTGCTGAACTTGTATTGGTACAGTCGTTTAAAGATCAGTATCTCATAAATACAACCAGATACTTCATATCAGTTTTTTCAAGCCCATTAAACGTCCTAAGTAAATAACAAAGTAACGCACTCGCGTGCAGGCACAATTATCACACACCAGAAAGTCATGAAACTCGGATTAATCGTCCAATTCTCGAGTGCAACCGACTGCAGCGACCAGCGGTAATTATTAATTGGAGAAAAGAAAAAAAAGTAATAATTGAGAGAAAAGAAAATTTTTAAATCCTTCTAGCGAGAGTGTACCCGAGTCGCAGTGTAGCGAAGAGGGGATAAAGAGGGGTTGTGACCCACGACGGAACTTTAGAACCTCGGAAACAAGAATATCAAGTCCAGGCTCTTATATGCAGCGCAGACGCCGTCGCGTAAATTTTTAATCGCAGCACGTAATTAAAATTTCACGGACGAAATTTTCTTAGGGGATAAGCTCTTAAAGGCCGCGTTAAATTGAGATATTAATTATGAAAATGCGCGACATCGTGGAAATAATAACACAACGCTTGTCAGATCGACGCTTACTCATTTTTCAAGTGTCTATAGATATACCCACGATACTTACGTACTAGGCTCATACGTATATTCACATATATAAAACATATGTTGCACGTGGATTTTCTATTCGTCTGCTAACAGCAGCGACAACAAGCTCCTAACCCTACGCCTACGTAATACGCCGTAATACCGTGCCAACGGCAGAATCACGAACCGAGACAGGTGAGACTTTCCTGAAAATTCGCATTGGCGTAGGTATAGCTAGAATTGGGAGAAGAAATGAGAAAAAATAATAATGGGTTACAAAATATCGAATCTAACTTTGATCGTAGAGAGATGACACAATACAAAGTCCATGCTGACTTCATAACAGAAGGATAGTCCATCTTGAACGTCTGCCAAATCCAAAATGCGCGAATAAATTCGCGTGTCAAATATCTCAAGAGAGAATCGTCGGCATGCCAATGGCGACGAATCGTAATATCCAATTCCTTGCAATTTTTATTGTCACGAATAAAAGGAGAGCGGAGTCTGAAATATATTTTTGGTGAAAAAAAAAAAAACATCGATCAAGTTTCAAGGTCGCTCCGCAGCTCGCGTGTCAAGTTTTTTTTTTTTTCGTGGTTTAATGAAATTCCGAAACGCGTGACGTCACCGCGTCGCGTCACACTTTCGCAAATTTTTGTTCCTCCCGTCGGCTCGCCACGGGTGGACACGGTGCCAAAGTCTTACGTCAACACGGCACATGCTGAGCTTTTAAAAAGCTGAAAGCGTCCGTCAAGTTAAACATTCCTAACCGCTGAAGAAGCACGACTAGCTTCAAGTCTTAACCAACATCCAGTACTAGCATAAGCGAGCTGTTTCCGAATAGGGTGAACTTCATCCCCGTTGCGTAAAGGAAGTATAAAGTAAAACTATAATTGAAGAAAGCAAGATCCCTCCGACATCCCTTCCTAACCCAAGCCTCCAAAATCCCATTGAATCTCCCAATTTCTTCTGCCATAACCTACAATTACAAAAGCACGGTATAAAATACAAGCGAAACACAAGAACGAGGAATGCAGAACAACTCGAGTGAATGAAACGACTATTCTGGCGTGCAACACTCGTAAAATGAATTATGGCTACGCCTGGTAATTTACGAGGAGACGCTGGATCGCTAGGAACAAATTTTTGCGGGTGACTGTAGCAATGACTCTCGTCACAGTTCCGTAATGGTGCCAAGCGCACAATGACGTCACGCCTGCAGGATTTGTATCAATCGTGAGTAACAGGCTAGGTTTATATCGCAGCTTTATAGCGAGCTTACACTCGCGTTATACATGCGGACGGTCCCTAACGGCTACGAAGCTATACGTCATTGCTTTATATACGTGCATGTATATAAAGAAGTTAAGAATATAATGTGTATAGCAATATAAACGCGTGCAGCTTAAGGGTGGAGTGCGATAGACCTGTTTTATATTTTCCCTCTTAAAATTACATTTTTTTACTCCTACAAAAGACGTCATTTTTTAATGAACAGCAAGCAAAAGTAATTTTACTCATAGAACGTCATACGTGTGCGCGCGGGTGGTGTGTGTAGAGAGAGTTATTATGTTTCTTCTGCTTTTTATACGAGCTTCTTTTTATTGCTAGTCATCTCTCTCTCTCTCTCTCTCTCTCTCTCTCTCTCTCTCTCTCTCGTCAGAAAACGATCATGCTGATGAAATTCATGCCCGCGGGACAAAGGCGCAAAGTTAAAATTGAAAATGATGAATCTTTTAACGAAGAGAATTTAATACAGGCGCGTGCAGATAGGCCAATGCTATTTCAACTATGAAAATCCTAGAGCATTCTCTCGAGCGCCGTACGATGCACTTGCAGCAGCACATAGACTATGAATTGTACGAGCGAGAAGGTCGACAGCCAGAAAAGTAGATGGAAATGGAGGCGGGTGAGGGGTACGGACTCTCGAGGTCGGTGGGCCATGTTTCAATATTAAGAAGGCTTTGGGGATGATTTAAATAAGCCCGTAAGAGCCTGGACTGTACGCAGCCTAAAAAGTTGGAGTTCTTCAATTTATGAGAAGATGTCAGGGACAGCTTAGCGTCTTTTTTTCCTCCCCTCGCTCCGTTCCACCTTCGCGCTTCTTTTTAGCTGCCGGAACGAGGAAAGCGAGAATAGGAAAGAAGGAAGAAATAGGAAGGGAAGCGAAAGCTCGTAAGTGGGGTAAGGGGGGGAAGAAAGGGCCTGGACTAAGATCAAGTTGAAGACGCATGGGCCTCATTATTCTTACTTTTTTTTTTTCCAGTAGTATAGAAAACCCGTAAGGAAAAATGTTTCGTATCCTTTCGACGACGTCGAGAAACGGAAGTCCGAAAACTTCCTGGTTCCATGGATGGATACCACGACCTACAGTATCTCTACTCTATATGTATATATACAATTGTACCTACCTATACCGCATATATGTATATACCAACCAGCATAAAATCCTAGAAGAACTTTCGAGGCGCCAATAAAACTTGGGTTAACGTTACGGGAGCTCGGATTCAAATTCGAAATGGCCGTGTTATCGCCCGACTGTATAGTATAGTAGCAACCGCTTAAGGGACCGACATAGAAACGAAAGTGTCGTCAAATCCCTCTGACCAATTCACTACGGGGCTCTCACGTGTCTACCTTTAGATATACGATGACGCGTGTATAGGTGATAGGAGGAACGACCTCTACGATAAGGTCGATGGTTAGATATACGAGAGTAAAGACCTCGCAGAATTTTACAGCGGTCCCCTTTAGGTACCGTGTCCCACTATACAAGGTCCGCCGATAAACGGCGTCGAGAGGAGGTTAAAAATGGCCCACTTTAAAAATTTCAAGGCACCTAACCTAACCGTGACAACGGTATAACAAATGGTACCTTTGAAAAGTGATTAATGGATACGATTGTCGCGCGGGTCACAGCTAGACAAGGTAGTGCTTCGTGAACCGAGAGAATAAACTCAGTCGTTTCGCTGCGTGATAAAGGAGTGTGGGTAAAGTTTAAAAAAAAAAAAAGACAAAAAAAAACCAACATGACGTGCACAAGATTCCAAAATGCTCGGAAGAGGCAGAGTGTGGTTAGGAATGTGCCGTCTCTTCGTGAAGGATCATCTCCTGCCTGCGTAGGTACCCAAAGGCGGAGGAACAAGGAAACGCGAAGAACGTGTTGAAGCGTTCGCGCCGCTTCGAAACGTCAAGTCCTGTTCGTTTACGCATAATTAACCAGTCGCGGTATCATTCGTCACGGGCATTTTGCCGTGTTTTAATTTAAGGTTATGATTCATGGCGATGCAGCGCGACCGGAGCACCGGGAGGATACTGCCCGTGGAGATGGCTGGCCCAACAGTAGAAACGGTGAGAAAAAGTCAGACAGAAGAAACGCACCGAGCGAAATTAGTTCCTCTAGCATCCTGTAAGTTCTATACCAACTGGTAAACCATTATGTATACTAAAGTACAGTCAATGAATCGAGGCAGTACCAACACAGCTTCTTATAATTGAACTCACTGAATATCTAACGTCTATGACGATGACAGCCTCTTTCGACGCTAATGGCTCCGCGAAAGTACAACAATGATTGCCAATATCTTACACGAGAGTGAAATAATCTTTACGCGTGGCCGATTACGCTGCTTCTCTCAGCCCTTTTATTCGGCAGCATCAATCCTGATAAAAAAGGAACTTTTGCTTCTGTCATTACCCACGTAAGGATAGCTTTCATGAACTTAGCCACGGTCCCCGCATCAGCCCACGCTAGCACGTCGCACAATGTTCCTGGGTATATGGATGTATACACAGTATAATCTATACCTAGGTCCAGAGCCATTTTACGTGACTGGTTGGTTAAAGTAACCTACGCCAGGTCTAGGGATAATCGGACAGCCTTTATCCGGCGTTATGTAGTTCAATATTTGGTTTCGGAGATGACTCAGCCTGTAAGCATGTTGACGCATTTGCAACCAGCGAACGGGACGAGGCGGGATGTACGAGCTAAGAAGGGAGAGTGACATTAAACAAGACACGCCATCGCGGACAGTGGTTAACACCTCGTCAAGGAACACGTCTTCTATCTGATCCAGTTCATCCGATCGTTCAGTCGCGTCTACATGGATACACTTTTTTTTTATTGCGAACAGTCCGAAACTGTATGTTACTGTGCTCTTTGCGAAAATATAGAATTTCAAAGTCGCACGTTACAAGGTCGG